AAGGTTCATCCATTTGAAAAAAAAGTTCATATCTTTAAAAAAGTTAATCAATTTTAAAAAAAGTTCATTTAAATTGAAAAAAAGTTCATCAAATTTAGATAAAGTTCATTACTTTTTTAAATAGTTCATAGAAATTCAAAAAAAGTTCATGTATTTTTAGAAAAACTTCGTTGAACTGAAAAAGAAGTTCATAGATTAAAAAATCATCCATTTTCAAAAAGATGTTCATCAAATTTGAAAAAAGTTCATCGATATTCAACAAAGTTCATTAATCTGAAAAAAAACTTTTGAAATTATTAAAAAAGTTCATAGATATTCAAAAAAGTTCATAGAAATTTCAAAAAAGAAAATGTCAACCGGTGCCTAGATGGCCGGCCCATTTACGGACGCCACAGGCGCCAGTTAACGAAAATGAACATTAACTGGCGCCGTTGGTGCCAAATAGGAAATGCCATAAACGAAACCAACTTCAGATCGAGATTTGCACGAGATTTACAACATCTAGATCCAATGGCCAAGAACTTAGATGTTACATTCTTAAATCTTCAGGCTTTTTAAATATAAGTTGTGGCGTGCGCATACAGGCGCTCCTGTGAGGCAGCTCCCACTGGCGTCCGATTTGCGTTGGACGAGCTCGATCTGCTGGGGCAACATGAATTTGGGAATCTTTTTATTTTCGACATTGATAAGTGTAACACGTGTGGGCTGAAGGAGATCGGGTCACACGCCCTTCTAGCCATTCATTGTGACACGTCAGGTTTATTTATTTATTTATTAACCATGCATGCAAACAGGGACGAGAACAGATAATGTCTGCGGGAATCTTTTGGGTTTTCGAACTTTAATATGTTTTATCTTCTAAATGAAAAATCCAATTTAAAATTCATTTTCACCATTAAATTCGCCGCGACAAGGACTTCAAAACTAGATCCAATATCAACATGTTTCGACGATATTTTTTGGCAGTCAAAAGTTGCCATGTCTATTACACATAAATTGCCATGGTGTTTACATTGAAGTTGTCATGATATGTTTCAACTACTTTTTCTTCTACGTTTAAACTAATTTTTGACATATTATAAAAAAGAAATGAAGAAACTAAACTTGCCATAGTGAATTACTAAAATTTCCCATAATCCGTGGAATAATTTTGACATGGTTCATAATTAAAAATAAATATGTTGTCCATTACTTTAAAGATGCATGGTCAATGACTCAAATTTGCCATGAACTAGAAACTAAAATTGCCATGATAAATTACTTAAATTTGCTATGATACATGCACAAAAATTTGCCATGGTCCACACAGAAAATAATTTATATGGTCCAAATACTAGAATTGTCATGGTCAAAATGCTAAAATTGCCATGATCTGTAAACTAAAATTACCATCATGAATTACTAAAAAATGCCATGATCCATGAATTAATTTTGACGTGATTAATTACTAAAAATTTCCATGGTCAATTAATAAAATTTGCCATGAAAAATAGTTAAAACACAATGGTAGTTTTAAATCTAGAAATAAAAATGGATGAAACATATCATGACAACTTTAGTGTAAACATTATGGCAACTTTTGTCACAAAAAAAGTCATCGAAACATATCGATATGGGATCAATTTTGAAGATCTCGTCGAGACGGATTTAATGCTAAAAACGGATTTGTAACCGAACTTTATTTAAGAGCCGAAAAACCAAAAAGATTCTGCTGATGCCATCTATTTGGTGTGGCAAAATGGATGGTAATGGGGCGCTTGGACCATTTTGCTTCATGCTACACGTGTGACACTTATCATTTGGGTTTATTTTTTTGAAGGTAATGAATGTGGGAATCTATTCTATCATGTTGGAAGCAGAGCCGAGACGTCACCGGCGATGGGGGAGAGATGAGGATGCGTGTGTGTTCGCGTTCTTGAGTCAGATCCCAGACTGCGGGCCACCGCTAATTCCTGCTCGTCCTCGAGTTGGTAATGATAAAAACAGAATTTTTTATGTGAAATACCACCTAACATATTCATCATATATTCTTTTTTCTTTGTAGCATGGACATTTGGACTTGAATGATTCAAAGCAATAGTCTATAATTTGACATGTAAACATCAATACTCAAGCATATCAACAAGCAACTATGTCTTTCGAAATATCAACGCTAAAGAAAGTTATCCCTAGCCCATGATGCTCAATCGTTGATCCATTAATGAAACACATTCAAATATTAACTACATCCAATACACAATTATGTCAATAGTGTTCCCTAGTTGATGCTTTATAAGAGAAGATTGAGAATCAATAAAAATAGAAATAACATAAAAGTAAATAGATAGGTCCTTTGCAGAGGGAAGCAGAGATTTGTAGAGATGCCAGAGCTCATAGCTTAAACTGGGAGATAAAATTGTTTTGAGAGATATGCTTTTCGTGTCAATGAAAATGACCGATAATTTCCAATATTTTCCATGCTAAATAAATGATAGGCGATTCCCAAACAGAAAGTAAAGTTTATTTCATTTCCACCATTCTTACATAATCCATGGATAGCCGTATGCATGGATGCCTTTCATACCAACACTTTTCAAGAAATTTATTATTAACAACATATAAACAAATTTCATTTCGGGACTGGGCATCCTTATTACCTGCCATAGTTTCATGCAATGACAAGTGAATAAACACTCACATGAGAATACAATACCTAGCATGGAAAATATTAGCCATCCCTCATCGATTCATGAGCGGTACGGACACACACAAAATAAATTCATTTTAAAAATTAGAGTCAGCACATACAAATTTACTTGGAACGGCATGAAAATACCGCATATACGTAGGTATAGTGGACTCATTTGACACAACTTTTGGTTTAAGGAGTTGGATGCACAAGCAGTATTCCAGTATTCCCGCTTAGTACAAGTGAAGACTAGTAAATAGATTGAGAAACAACCAACCAAAAAACAAAAACGGTCATAAACGATCATTGAACACAATTAACACTGGATAATACACCACAAGTATGATATAATTTCATTGCATAACTACGGCCGCGGGCACGTCTGCCGGCATGAACTACGGCCGCGGGCCCTGAATTACCTTTATTTCACAAAAATATATGTTTATTTCAAAGAATTCGGTTGGACAGACCAATTGGGTTGGCCGGTTGGACACATCGGTCAGATTTGGATAGACACGACTGGACGATCCACCTTCAGCCGACCCAAACCAATAAAAAACTAATCAAATTCATGTCCGTTTGGATTGGCGCGTTGGAGTTGGCTTTACAGCGGTAGCTACTGTGGGCAACATAACAAAAGGAAGGGAAAAGAGCTTGCGCAGGAGCTGCCCGACCGGCACTTGCCGCATCCCCCCAATCAGCAACGCGAAGTCGCCATGTGCTCAATGTTCTTCTAGGGTGTGTTTGGTAGTTGTTCCCACCCTAGCATAGTTGTTCCCATTTGAGACATGCTTAGTCCAGACATGCTCAGTACATGCAACTGCAGTTGTTTGGTAGCAATGTATGTACTGATGCATGCTGAGCTGAGACTGTGTTTGGTAGGCTGCATCAGACAAGACATGTTACACAGAGACTGTGTTTGGTAGCCTGTATATGAGGCATGCTGCATGAATGATTTTTTTGCCGCCAAGACAAATATTGAAACAACATTTCAACAATTCATGGAACAATTCGAGCAATAAATTGTTACCATGCCAACAACAGATTTCTCTCTCTAAATATAGCACACAAACAGAAAAAGGAGCTTTCCTCATTCTTAATTGATTTGAACAATTTATGTCACTAGAGTGATAAATATATCTCAAATTGGACTCTCTAGATGTGGCACGATCGGCCATGCTGCCCACGGCTATCCTCGCTGTTTGTTGCCTAGCTCTTCTAAACATGATCATCTTGTATGCATACATTCCAGCCACTAGACCATCCTCGCTGTTTGTTGCCTAGCTCTTCTAAACATGATCATCTTGTATGCATACATTCCAGCCACTAGACCGGCTCCTCTCACAATTAATTGCCTTCGTTTTCTTGCCAATTCATCCATCTATGACAATACAAACAAATTGATACTTAGCACAACCGATTGTTTTCCAGCATGACAAGCACTGAACAAACTAAAATATGAGCATAATAGGTACAACAATCATAAGTTATACATCTATTGTAATCATTTTGACCACCTATACATGATAATCATAAGGGAACAGAGGAGCAGTTTCTGGTCAAGTAACAACGGCTACTCCCTGTGAGCCCAAGGCAGGAAGGAAGGGTGAGGAGGGCGGATGGGAACGAGGCAGGAAGGAAGGGGTGAGGAAGCTACCTCTCCGGCGACGACGGTGGGCTAGGCCTGGCGGCGGCGAGATCCACGTGCGGCGGCCGCGATTTGAAAAGGCGAGGTAGACCGGCGCGGTGGCGAAGTAGACCGGGGCGGCGGCGAGGTAGACCGGGGCGGCGGTTACGGCGGCGAGGTAGAAGAACAGGGGGCCGGCGGGGATGAAGATCAGGCGCCAGTCGCCATGGTTGTTCGCGGCCTCGCGGGAGAGAGATGGGGGCGAGGGGTGGCGGCTAGGTCAGCGAGAGGGGTGGGGCGAGCGTAGTGGGTCGGGAGGAGAATTTTGCTAGGGTCCAACAGAGCCACGCTGAGCCTAGCTCGCATGTATGTGGGTGCTCCAGCGAGCATAGCTCGGGGCCTTTTTTGCATCAGACGGGCTATGCCCAGAAGAGCCCATACGTAGGGAATTTTTAGTCTCATGCATTCTGCGCGCAGGCTACCAAACACACCCCTAATGCCCACTGCCCAGCCTCCTACTTATTATTCACGCCTTGCTGGTAGTAGTATGAAAAAGGGAACATAAATAGAAAAGTACACACGATTTTCAAACAATATCAACACAAACCAGCCATCGCAACGACCCAAGCAGCCGCGACGAGACCCACAGCGCATTCTCCTTTCTTCTTCAGCACGTGTACGTGTGCCCTCGCCGTAGCCACGGACTCACGGGTGCAGCGCCGAGTACGTCCGGTACTTGTACTCCTCCGCCGCGGAGGCCTCCTCCTTACCGGCAGTGTAGTCCTTGGGGTGGTGGCATGGCACGTAGGTGCTGACGGGGCAGTAGGTCTTGGTCGTGTGGAAGAAGCCGGCGCACTCCTCGTGCGACCGCTGGTTGGGCGCATAGGGGATGCAGTTGCGGGCGACGTTGAGCTTCCCCTGCTTGATCAGGGCCCAGCAGCACGACCCCAGCGACGTGAAGTAGTTGTCGGAGAGCGTGAGGTTTGAGAGGTGGCCGCCGGACGACGGGTACGCGAGCCGGCAGAGCGCGTCGGGCACCTCGCCGTAGAGGAGATTGTCCGCCAGGTTGAGCTGCTCCACCTTCCGCAGGCACGCGTACGAGGCCGGGATGGTGCCCGTGAGCTGGTTCGTGCCGGCGTCGATGACGGTGGCCTTGGCGAGCAGGCCGAGCTCGTAGGGGAGGCAGCCGCTGAGCTTGTTGTTGAGGAAGAGCACCTCCAGGAGCGTGTTGGCGGCGCGGCCGATGGACGACGGGATGGGCCCCGTGAACTGGTTGTTGGCGAGCGCGAGGTAGTTCACGGGCGAGTCGCCGAGGTTGCTCGGGATCTTGCCCGAGAACTGGTTGTTGTTGACGAAGATGGCCTCCACGATCGGGAATGAGCAGAAGAGCCCCGCCGGCACCTCGCCGTAGAACCGGTTGAACCGGATGTCGACGAAGGTGGCGTTGGTGACCCCCAGCACGTCCGTCGGGAAGGCGCAGCGAGCGAGCTTGTTGTTGCTCACGTCCAGCTCGTAGAAGTACTGCAGCGACCGGAGGATGGGCACCACGCCGCCGAAGTCGTTGGAGTTGGCGTGGAAGAGCGCCAGGTCGGGGAGCGCGTCCACGAACCCCTCCACGGTGGGGGCCTCCAGCTTGAAGCCGTTGAAGTCGACGGACGCGAGCGCCCGCTCGTTGACGTTGGGCGGCTTCTCGCAGAAGAAGCCCAAGTACGAGGTGTCGCTGCAGATGGCGGTGCCGGTCCAGGTCTTGGTGATGCCCTGGGTGTCGCACGTAATGGTCTGCTTGAACCTCTGGATCACGAGGTACGCCCTGTAGAGCCGCTCGTTCTCGAAGTCGGACGCCTTCGGCCCGTATGACGACGGCGGCGTCGGTGACGGAGACCCGCCGCCTCCGTACCCGCCCCCGCCCCCGATCCCAATCCCGATGCCTATCCCCCCGCCGCCGCCGTTGCCGATGCTGATGCCGAGCTCCCGCCGGCTGGCATCGGAGGTGCGCGCCGCGAGCGCAATGCACGACGCCAGGAGGCAGAAGAGAGCGAGGCGCCGAGGCGCCGAGCGGCCTGCCATTCTTTTTCTCACCGGGGGTGTCGGCAGCAGGAATGGAAACAGTGTGGCTCCTGCTTGACTCGTGTCAGGGTCCCCTCGCGCCAAGTGAAGAGTGAAGACGGAGCGCGACTGCGCGATCGAGTGGCCCTGGCCTTTGGTTACGGGTTGCGCGCAGGGGTATATAAACGCCTGCGCTGTTGGCCTGTTGCACCGCGACACGGCGGGAACTGGCCATGTGCTGATGTGCATGCATGGTACTGGCATTGTTGCTGCTGAAACCTCTACTCCTACAGTTCTACCTGAGGATTTACTCTTGGGGTGACTAGTGCCAGGATTGTTTCATCAGAGAAGCTGGAACTTGCTGTCTTGTTGTTTGTTGGATGCCAGTATATCCGTGCTATTCCGTGGCCCCGGTTTACAAATGATTCGAAGAGCTCACGTGCGAGAGGAGCACAGATGCATCCAGATTTGGTCGCTTTCGTAAGATGGCATAACTTTGTGGCTATTTCTTGATCGATCGAGACATCGCACCTTCCGGTAAAGAAAACGTTAATGCAGAATCTGCGGCCTCTTGAGTCCACGCTCATCGATCATATTTCAAAAAAAAAAGGTGGACGTAAATTCGTTCATAGTGTACATGGAATCATGGCCCTAAGCGCGTAGAATAGAGCTGTAATGATCGCATGGATTTGTGGGCTACTCCATTCTCGAACTGTCAAACCAACTGCGTGTCTCCTTTGAAAGAAAGAAAAAAGGCGATGCCCGATCGATCTATTCATCATTTGACGGCCCCGGCATCATCAACTCCGACGCTGCGTATGTGGGTATGTGACAACCCGCATAGTCCCAATTATTTTTATGTGGACATCTCACTTAATCCCACATAATTATGTGGGTTGATGCGACATTATGTGGGACTCCCGCGTCTCATCCCACTTGCAGCCTGACCGACGCACCATGTGATGTTCATGGCGAGATGGTCGATTTCATTACTAACCGGCGAAACTTCCACCGGCCGGTGAAGTCGGCTAGCACAGCGACGTGCCAACGTACGCCGTCGCAGCTTCCACTAGGCATCTCCCCCATATAGTATACTTTGGTAGTGTACATGCGGATGGTAGGGGTGGTGGTTACATACGGTGGTTGCGAGTGCGACGCCCCTTTCGCGCTCTGCCTGGCTGTTCGCTTTGGTGCTTTGCTTCCCGCTGGTACGGCATGCATGCTACTATATTCACGTACAAACGCGTCCGTCAATCCATGCATCCTCCTCCCCATATAATCTGGCCAAAACCTACGCAGCTGCGCCTTAAAAAAATGGGGCTGGAGCTTACGTCGGACAGAGTAGAGGCGAAAGGTCGCCTGGTCACGGGCCGGCACATTGGTACGGCGCCCTGGTCATGTCCAATCCCCTTGCCGAACGCGGCATTTAATAATGCGGGCGCGCCCGGCCGGATGCGCAACGTGCGTGCCTCCCGGGCCCCCGGCAGGTGAGCAGTCTGCTTTGTTCGGCAGCACACACACACGCACACATTCGTTCGTGCATCGCGAGCGCGCGCGGGCGGGCAGAATATCGAGGTTGCGTCGCAGGCAGGGCACGGTGTCCCTGTTCATTGCCAGCGCGTTTGGTTCGATGTGCTGGTGCTGCGTACCACTGTCGACTAGTATCTGAATCTTACGTGCCTCCGTAAACTTGTCACGGTCCTCTGCACAGATTAATAAAGCCTCCAGATATCCACCGTGGCAAAAGATGGAGATCACGATCATTGTCACAGACCTGGATGTGCAGTGCTGCCGTAGGGCCAGGGTTTTTGGCTCCAGCTGAGCCCACCGTGCTAGTATTGGATCATACTAGCGCCATTATCTGCCAGGAGTAAAGTTTGTTTTAAACTTGACTTGAGGTTTTAGAGGTAGGGCTGTAAGAAAAGATCGAGACTCGTGAGCCGCTCTAGATCAACTCGTATTTTAGCTTGACTCGAAATCGACTCGAAAAGAAATGAGCAGAGTATGAGCATTTTATGTAGCTCGATCGAGAAACGAGCCGATCTTGAGTCAACATTGGCTCGCCCGATTTTAACTCCATAGCTCGATATCATATAAGTACATTAAATAATCTTCATGTCCGTTACAAAGAATTAGGATCAACCATTGCCATATGTTTTGCACGATTTTTTTCTTCATTTTACCTACTAGGAAACATAGAAATCAAGCATGGAGAAAGTTTAGCCTCAATCTGACACGTGGCCAACTACGTGTTCAATATCTTGTTATTTCGACCAAAGTTTGAAAGCAGGCGCACCTTTGTTATCTTCTATCCATGATCTCTTGTTATTAGACACTAGACCATGAAGGCGCGCGTTGCTGTGCCCCTCTATTTTGTCAATAGAATGATAGGAATTTACGAAAGGAGATTGCTATCAAGGTAATAATATATATGATTCATCACCAACCCGTGGAGCTGAATAAATTGAATAGCTACAATGTAGCATATGGCCTTCATAGAATTTGATTTTGTAAAGAGCAAGAAAAACAACAATCCTTCAATTACCTTTCATGAATTACCTAAATTTGGTAGCACTTCAATACCTTGTAAGTTGTACACTTGAAAGACAGAAAGACCATCATAGTGGTGCAACTGGAGTTTAGCTGGAACTCTCAGTAACCCAGGTAAGGGAGGAGCAATCTATGGGAAGTCAACTCCTGGAGATGACATAGGATTGATTCATGGGAGTTAACAGTTCCAAAAGATAACTCCCATTTAGGTTTATCTATGCTAACCAATTGAAGCCATGTTGATATAAGAAAGATTCACATGTTAACCTGGTTTTATAAAATTCCCATGCACGCCTTTTTGTCTGCAGATATAACATTTACATGTTAGCTACCTTAAAACACCAATAACCTCTGACCTAGTACATGAATCCAGTGATTGAGTTACACAACCTTTACAGTGGCAAGCTTCTGTTGGTATGAACGTCCATGTATCTGTAACAAAAACAGAAATGAGTGATGCATTTCCTTTCTTACCCTAAATAATGGTTGATTAGGTACTCATACAATCATAAAGAATAAAAACTCTCATTTATTACACAGCAAGCGCACCCGATCTACATGTGAACTAAGACTAATACCTCGTGAAAAAAAAGGTAATTTTGCAGAGAGAAGATTCCATGTAGAAGAATCTAGATAAAATTGAAAGTTGTTCAGTTCCTTCTAAAACAGTGGTATCATTGTCTCCCCATAGGGATTTTCCACAAGAAAAATGCGAACCAGAAATTTATGACGCTGTAGGTAGTGGGAAAAAGAGAGTATGAGATCATATAGAAATTGTATTATGCAGAGTGTGTTATTGCTTCATCTAACATTGTGGCTTTTGTCGATTTACAAAAGCTAATATGCTTGATTGGATGCCAAATTCTAAATGTCTTTGATGTGAAGACACGCCCTTGAGGAAGCAAGATAATATGATGGCTTACTTGTATACTCTGCACTCTAAATGCTACAAAAGAAGCACAATATTTGGAGGGAACAATGATAAAGAATTACATGGACTAAACAAAAGCTAGCCTGCCCAGGAGCCATGTCCAAACTTAGTGAGAACAGGGTGCAGCCAATATTACAATATAGGAGGCCTATCATGATCCCAGTTGTCACCTCGAGCACAATGGGTCAACAGGAACTTAGTTTACTGTTGAAGCAAGATCAGCCAACGCCCAAGTGAACCCTACGGAAATGCCATTTGTAATATGATGCAAGCAAACAAGCCAATTCCGCACCAAGCAAAAATTGATCCCAAGAACCAAATAGACCGGGAGGGGAGCAGGTATGAATGGAGGGAAATGCCATATGGAAGAGACGAAGCAACATGCAAAGGAACAAAAAAAATATGGAGAATTATAGAGTATAATGAGAGAAATTGGGGAGTAACGCTTCATGGCCATTACTCGCTATTGCAGGGCGCTTGAAGTGTCGAAACTGCCGGTTCATATTGCTAGGTGTGCATCGATTGCCATTAATGGCAGCAGAAATTGCGATTTACTCCCTGTTGCCGCCAGGGATCATGGGCGAATGGACTACTACAATTGCAGCCAACGCTTCGCTGCCTCGCCACCGTCTTGCGGCGTCGCCTGGCAAGTTGACCCTGTCGTTCCCTTGGTCGAACCAAAGGTACGGTCGCATCGCATGTTTGACGGACGGCTAGGAACGATGTTCTTCTTTCCTTCATCGACTCCCGTTGGAGGTATAGGTATTTGCTCGCGGACGTAAGGCCCATGGGCCCGAATAACAGATGACCTCAGATTTTGTTCCGGGAGCAGCGACCCAGCCTATGTGTCTCCTCTGTTCGTAACTGAATCCCACGCGAGATTAAAAAAATTAGATCTGACGGCCGCAAATGCCTATCAATGCAGATCCAATGGTGGAAAAGAGTCATGGCCTGAGAGGGCTGGAAAGATACACGATTATAATGTATCTAAATTGGTCTTCAATTGAGAAAGAATAAGTCGAATTTTATAATGACTTTTTTGTTACGTCATATCTTACTTTAAAATTTTCCTTAAAATAATTAAAAAAATCATCTTATTTAGCTCAAAACTAGCTCGAGATCGACTCGAGATCGTTACAAGCTGAGCATGAGCTATATTCTACAACTCGACCTTGAGCTTCACATATTTTGAGCTCGCTCGAATTTTAGTATGAGTTGAGCCGAGCCTAGGCCAACTCGCTCGAACTCGACTCGTTTGCAGCCCTATTTAGAGGTGGTTGAACTTCGAATGCTTGGAATCCGTACCCTGTATTCAGTGACCCCGGTCAATCTTAACCCGCAATCTGTTTGACGTTGTTTGGCACACCGGGAAAAAGACAATCCTGGCCGGGATCACCTACTACTCTCATTGACTATGTTAGCCCACATGTCATCCTGGTTGGGATCACCTCTTACTCCCACTGACTATGTTGGCGCTCTAGTGCCCGACATACATCGAGCACCTACAGCAGTCGGCACTGGCGTACAACCGTGGGAGCGGGCATGGACGGGTGGTTTCGGTTGTACAAGCCGTGGCGCCAGGGGCAACACCTAGGACAAATATCAGGTGATACCACTCTTTAAATGCTATCATGATACCAAGTTAGAAAATTCAAATTTAAACATGTCAAAAAATTCTGAAAAACATGGGTGTTCATAACACATATGTTGGCAACCCCTAAAAAATTCAGATCAAAATTCGAGATACACATAGAGAAACCAAAAAGACAAATCCATCATGAAT